TGTAAGTAGAATTGTTGTGGCTTTAATCAATACATTTTTGGCAGTATTACACTATGGAGGGTTTTTTTTATATATGAGCGTTTCCTGTGGCAAGGAAAAGGAATAAGCCATCTCAGCACTGGAACATCTACATGCTTGCAATCATATATTATCAGAATACAAGCAGCATCATGCCAAATAGACCTCCTATAATATGGGGTCTAGGAATGCTGTAAGAGGTTGTTATGTTGGTGGTGGACACACTCTTCACAACAAATTGAATGTTGATGGAAATTTTCTCCATGGGAGAACCTTTAAAATCTAAATTTCTTCTGGACTTTAATTTGTTATGTTGGGATTTATCACGTTTATTTGAGTATTATTTGTCACTCACTTATTCATTCATTTACAGCACAACTTATTTGTAAGAGTATAATTGAAACATATGGTGGATGCTTTTTGAGGGCAGCTGTAATATTGATTATTTACTTAATCACTAAGCGCAGTGGAAAAGGTTTTTTTTACCATGCATGGCTGCACCAGATTCAGAGTGTATCAGTGTTAGTAAATCCTTTGCGTTAAGGAACCCTTTAAAGAAGTCATGTGATGAAATGCAGCAGGGTAGGACCACACTGCAACCGAGGAACACCTCATACCCCCTGCCAGAAGTGACATTCCGCTCACCATTGGCAAGGGTGAACGGGTGAGACACCGCTAATGTGATCACAGTAACTGAATCAGAGGAGGAGCCAGAATCCTTGGCCGGTGCTGACAATTTGGTTTCAGAGGACTCCTCCCAGGGTTCCCCAGGTTTTCCTTTCTCTGGTATGGCAGGAGAACTGAAGGACACCGAGGAAGTCCCAACAGCCAGTGAGAGTGGATAGCATACAAAGAAACAAACAGAGGGTGCACAGGCCTTGTGCATTACCTTAAAAATTAATTTATTGTAAAAAGTGGTAATATACTCACAAAGGATAAAATGTCAAAGGCACGTCATATGAACTACAGCAAGATACAAAAACTCTGGATGATGTCGTCTGTAATGGGATATTTAGACCTCCAGCTGGTTGATGCGTTTCGAGGCCTTGCCTCTTCCTCAGAGCCAATACCTAAAAATGCCTGTGTCCTCTCTTAAATGTGCTGGTTTCTAAGGGGTGGGTGTTTAAAGTCCCACCCCTGGGTGGGAATAGCAAGTGTGCCAAGCGCCATAGAGGGTGGAGCCAAAAAGACTTTTAATAGTGCTCATCACTACAAATGTAGAATAATCAGTAAGATACAATACAATACATACACGTGTAAAAAACATGTAATGAATATGTGATGGATATAAATGGAAATATGATGTGTCATACTGCATATAAAACACGATGATGGCACAAGGACAGGAATCCTCCAATTCATCTATAGCTGTACATTGAGAGTCAGATTTGGTGAACACAAGTGTAACATCATCAATGGCAAAGACGTACACAAAACATCCCAAAAGAAAAATTATTCTGTACCGCAACATTTTCAGGAGAAACATGCTAACAATCCGTCAGGCCAAAGATTGTTTAGCATCGAATCAGTGAGAGGAGATTCAGACAATGGTAGGAGATTTCAAAGATTATGCATGAGAGAGACTTACTGGATTTTCACCTTGGGTTCCCTCTCTCCAGGTGGACTCAATGAGAATTCGGAGGTACACGCAGCAGTCCACAAATCCTATATTTATCTATTCTCACCTCAGTTTCTACTTCCCATTAGGTGTGTGTGTATATACATACAGTCAGGTCCATAAATATTGGTACATCGACACAATTCTAACATTTTTGGCTGTATATATCACCACAATGTATTTGAAATGAAACAAACAAGATGTGCTTTAACTGCAGACTGTCAGCTTTAATTCGAGGGTATTTACATCCAAATCAGGTGAACGGTGTAGGAATTACAACAGTTTGCATATGTGCCTCCCACTTGTTAAGGGACCAAAAGTAATGGGACAATTGGCTTCTCAGCTGTTCCAATGTGTGTTATTACCTCATTATCCCAATTACAATCAGCAGAAAGAAGGTCCAGAGTTCATTTCAAGTGTGCTATTTGCATATAGAATCTGTTGCTGTCAACTCTCAAGATGAGTTCCAAAGAGCTGTCACTACCAGTGAAGCAAGCCATCATTAGGCTGAAAAAACAAAACAAACCCATCAGAGAGACAGCCAAAACATTAGGCGTGGCCAAAACAACTGTTTGGAACATTCTTAAAAAGAAGGAACGCATCGGTGATCTCAGCAACACCAAAAGACCCGGAAGACTACTGTGGTGGATGACCGAATTCTGTCCCTGGTGAAGAAAACACACTTCACAACAGTTGGCCAGAACACTTTCCAGGAGGTAGGTGTATGTATGTCAAAGTCAACAATTAAGAGAAGACTTCACCAGAGTGAATACAGATTGTTCACCACAAGATGTAAACCATTGGTGAGCCTCAAAAACTGGAAGGCCAGATTAGAGTTTGCCAAACGACATCTAAAAAAGCCTTCACAGTTCTGGAACATCCTATGGACAGATGAGACCAAGCTCAACTTGTACCAGACTGATGGGAAGAGAAGAGTATGGAGAAGGAAAGGAACTGCTCATGATCCTAAGCATACCACCTCATCAGTGAAGCATGGTGGTGGTAGTGTCATGGCGTGGGCATGTATGGCTGCCAATGGAACTGGTTCTCTTGTATTTATTGATGATGTGACTGCTGACAAAAGCAGCAGGATGAATTCTGAAGTGTTTTGGGCAATAATATCTGCTCATATTCAGCCAAATGCTTCAGAACTCATTGGACGCCGCTTCACAGTGCAGATGGACAATGACCCAAAGCATACTGCAAAAGCAACCAAAGAGTTTTTTAAGGGAAAGAAGTGGAATGTTATGCAATGGCCAAGTCAGTCACCTGACCTGAATCCGATTGAGCATGCATTTTACTTGCTGAAGACAAAACTGAAGGGAAAATGCCCCAAGAACAAGAAGGAACTGAAGACAGTTGCAGTAGAGGCCTGGCAGAGCATCACCAGGGATGAAACCCAGCATCTGGTGATTTCTATGCGTTCCAGACTTCAGGCTGTAATTGACTGCAAAGGATTTGCAACCAAGTATTAAAAAGTGAAAGTTTGATTTATGATTATTATTTTGTCCCATTACTTTTGGTCCCTTAACAAGTGGGAGGCACATATGCAAACTGTTGTAATTCCTACGCCGTTCACCTGATTTGGATGTAAATACCCTCAAATTAAAGCTGACAGTCTGCAGTTAAAGCACATCTTGTTCGTTTCATTTCAAATCCATTGTGGTGGTGTATAGAGCCAAAAATGTTAGAATTGTGTCGATGTCCCAATATTTATGGACCTGACTATATATATATATATATATATATATATATGTGTGAATGAAAATATATATGTACATTTTTTTTATCTCCACTTCCGCATCTTTCACTTATTTTTTTCTTAAGTGCTATTGCTTGATTCTGCAAGATATATGAGTTCATTTTGTATAGCCTTACTGTCAGAAATGGACTTGCCAGTAGTGGTGGGACTCACCTGCCTTGTGGGCTGCAGTACCAGGGCTGGCCAGCGGGTGCTCTCAACAACCAGAGGCTCACTCCTGCAATTAGCCATCACCTGGGCTGATTGCAGGTGGTGTATTTAAAGGATGGCCAGACCTGCAGTCAGTGCCTTGTTGTACTGTTCGCTTGGCCCTGGTTTCCTGATCCTGTTACTCCTGTCCTGACTCTGCTTGAACTCTGCCTGTACTGACCTCGGCTAGTCCTGACCACTCTCCCGCCTTCTCTCCTGGTACTCCGTTTACCCGTTTGCTACCGACCTGGCCTGCCTGACTACTCTTGTATGTTTGTTATCTGTTTGAGGTTTGGTTTAGTTTGTTTGCACTGTGTTTATGTTTAGTTTTGCACTGCGTTTGTATTGTTAGTCTTAATAAATTATATTATTTACTATACCTGAAGCCTGCGTTTCCCTGTGTCAGTCCACACACTTCTGGTCATACCCTGATCCCTGACATTACAACAAGGCCATTCCTGACCAGCAGTGGCTGCACAGGGAAGCCATCTTGGCTTGTTGTTGGGAAGGCTGCATCCTGATGAGGTGGTGTATTTGTCTCTGCTGGTCTTTGATGACAGAGAGTATGCTTATCAAACTCTGAAGGAGTATATACCGGGGATAAACTGCTAGAATGTATACAGGTCGCTCATGTTCTAGTAGATCAGGGCATAGAATTCTCTGAGGTGCAACCTTTGATTCAGGTTTGTGCAGAGTTGGCTTCATCTGGTACCCCTGAAAGCAGGAATGACTTTTTGCCACCATTTAGTGCAGACCAGGTAGAGTCCCTGGTATGGTTATTAGAGGATGATGTGGAGTGCTTCTTGGAGCATTATTCTGCATGTTCACAACAGGTACTAAGAGATTGTATAAACGCAGTGCAGTCTTTGACCAGACAGGCTTTCTGTAAACTGAGCTTTGTTCAACCCATACTGCAGACATGGTCAGACTTGTTGCACCCAGCCTCAGTCAGCTTACAACGTCATTCTTCTGCTCAAGGCACTCTTCCTGCATCCCCGACAGCACCCCCAGTGACGGCCCAGTATACTCTGCTAACTACCACATATCAGTCCTCTGCTCCCACTCGCCGCACCTATCCTGCCTTTAACCCTGTAAAGAAGTCCTCTGTAGCAACTGCTCCCTCCTCTGTTCCATCCTCCAGCTCTTCTCTGTCTTCAGCTGCTCTATATCCACTTACAAACCTGCGCTTACTTACAGTGCTCCGGTAACTAAAACCAGGAAAAGGCGAAAATTCTTTCCAACCAGTACCATCCTGCCAGTATCCAAACTGGTCAGCCTGCCATCAGAGAACCCGCCTTCCGTGGTGCAGCCTGGTGCCTCGGCGCCCGCAATTCAGCCTGATGTCTCTACCCAGCCTGATGAACTGATCCAGCCTGATGATCCTATCATGCCAGGTGACTCGGTGCACGCTGTCGAGCTAGATGACCTAAAGCCTGGTGACCCGATGCCCGCTGTCGAGCCAGACGATCCAATGCCTGATGACCCAGTGCCCACTGTCGTGCCTGATGACCCGATGCCCGCTGTCGAGCCAGATGACCTGATGCCAGATGACCCAATGCCAGCTGTCGGGCCAGATGGCCTGGTGACCCGATGCCCACTGTCGATCCAGACGATCCGGTGCCTGATGACCCGATGCCCGCTGTCGAGCCAGATGACCCGGTACCCGCTGTCGAGCCAGATGACCTAATGCCTGGTGACCCGATGCCCGCTGTCGAGCCAGACGATCCAATGCCTGATGACCCAGTGCCCACTGTCGTGCATGATGACCCGATGCCCGCTGTCGAGCCAGATGACCTGATGCCAGATGACCCGATGCCAGCTGTCGAGCCAGATGACCTGATGCCTGGTGACCCGATGCCCGCTGTCGAGCCAGACGATCCAATGCCTGATGACCCGGTGCCCGCTGTCTTGCCAGATGACTCGGTGCCCGCTGTCTTGCCAGATGACTCGGTGCCCGCTGTCGAACCAGATGACTCGGTGCCCGCTGTCTTGCCAGATGACTCGGTGCCCACTGTCGAACTTGACGACCCGATGCCCGCTGTTCTGCCAGATGACTTGGAGCCCGCTGTCTTGCCAGATGACTCGGAGCCCGCTGTCTTGCCAGATGACTCGGAGCCCGCTGTCTTGCCAGATGACTCGGAGCCCGCTGTCTTGCCAGATGACTCGGAGCCCACTGTCTTGCCAGATGACTCGGAGCCCGCTGTCTTGCCAGATGACTCGGAGCCCGCTGTCTTGCCAGATGACTCGGAGCCCACTGTCTTGCCAGATGACTCGATGCCCGCTGTCTTGCCAGATGACTCGGTGCCCGCTGTCTTGCCAGATGACTCGGTGCCCGCTGTCTTGCCAGATGACTCGGTGCCCGCTGTCTTGCCAGATGACTAGATGCCCGCTGTCTTGCCAGATGACTCGGTGCCCGCTGTCTTGCCAGATGACTCGGTGCCCGCTGTCTTGCCAGATGACTCGGTGCCCGCTGTCTTGCCAGATGACTCGGTGCCCGCTGTCTTGCCAGATGACTCGGTGCCCGCTGTCTTGCCAGATGACTAGATGCCCGCTGTCTTGCCAGATGACTCGGTGCCCGCTGTCTTGCCAGATGACTCGGTGCCCGCTGTCTTGCCAGATGACTCAGTGCCCCAGCCCGATGTGCCTCTGTCCGGTGCCCAGCCCGATGTGCCTCTGTCCGGTGCCCAGCCCGATGTGCCTCTGTCCGGTGCCCAGCCCGATGTGCCTCTGTCCGGTGCCCAGCCCGATGTGCCTCTGTCCGGTGCCCAGCCCGATGTGCCTCTGTCCGGTGCCCAGCCCGATGTGCCTCTGTCAGGTGCCCAGCCCGATGTGACTCTGTGTATATATATATCATGTTGAAATTAGTTTTTTATTACACAATATATGAAGAATATGTTTTAAAATACATTTCAAATATACTGTATGTCTTTAAAAATACAAATCTACATTTTTTCTAATGAATTTACAAATATATGTAAAAATGACTTTTTTATATGTTAAAAATATATTTTTAAATACCATAGTAACATTGAACTACTCTGGACAAGTGATCAGGATTTTTTTTTAACACATTATGATTGCTAATACCAATGTATTTCATTGATATTTGCAATCATTGTTACTGAATGAAACTGATTCATTCAGTCTTTTGTTGTGATTAGCTGTGATTGGGCAAAGCTGATCACATGATACAGATGGGCTGTGATTGGCCCTGTCCGTATCATGTGACTGCCTTGACCAGTCACAGCTAACAACATTTTGTATACAATGGATGGCATGACAGGCAGCCATCCATTGTATACAGTTGACATGTGATCTGCTGTGATTGGTCACAGTGGTCACATGATACTGGCAACAGGCCAATGTAGTGATATTTCATCAGCTGTGTCCTGTTGACACAGCTGGTGACAGATCGCACCGCTGCATGACCCCACGGACGCGTGAGCGGCTACCTTGTTTTGACGGGACGTCATATGACGCCCAGTCACAACGGCGAGTGTCCCGCCCGGCCGTCAATCTGCTATAAGCCGGGCGGGAAGGTGTTAAAGACATACAGTATATTTGAAATGTATTTTTAAAAATATTTTTCATGTATTTTGTAATAAAAACATAGTTCAATATGCAGTACATATACAGTGGGGATCGAAAGTTTGGGCACCCCAGCTAAACATTTGTATTAATGTGCATAAAGAAGCCAAGGAAAGATGGAAAAATCTCCAAAAGGCATCAAATTACAGATTAGACATTCTTATATTATGTCAACAAAAGTTAGATTTTATTTCCATCATTTACACTTTCAAAATAACAGAAAACAAAAAAATGGCATCTGCAAAAGTTTGGGCACCCTGCAGAGTTAATATCTTGTACTGCCCCCTTTGGCAAGTATCACAGCTTGTAAACGCTTTTTGTAGCCAGCCAAGAGTCTTTCAATTCTTGTTTGAGGTATCTTTGCCCATTCTTCCTTACAAAAGTCTTCCAGTTCTTTGAGATTTCTGGGCTGTCTGTCACGCACTGCTCTTTTAAGGTCTATCCATAGATTTTCAATTATGTTGAGGTCAGGAGATTGTGAAGGACATGGCAAAACCTTCAGTTTATGCCTCTTGATGTAATCCCCCGTGGATTTCGAGGTGTGCTTAGGATCATTATCCATTTGTAGAAGCCATCCTCTCTTTAATTTCAGCTTTTTCACAGATGGCATCAAGTTACCATCCAAAATTTGCTGAAATTTTATTGAATCCATTTTTCCTTCTACTCGTGAGATGTTCCCTGTGCCACTGGCTGCAACACAACCCCAAAGCATGATTGATCCAACCCCATGCTTAACAGTTGGACAGAGGTTCTCTTCATTAAATTCTGTGCCCCTTCTTCTCCAAACTTACCTTTGCTCATTCCGGCCAAAAAGTTCAATTTTAACCTCATCGGTCCACAGAACTTGTTTCCAAAATGCATCAGGCTTGTCTATATGTTCATTTGCAAAGTTCAAACGATGATTTTTGTGGTGAGGACGTAGAAGAGGTTTTCTTCTGATCACTCTTCCATGAAGACCATATTTGTACAAGTATCTCTTTATAGTGGAATAGTGTACCACAACTCCAGTGTCTGCCAGATCTTTCTGGAGGGATCGTGCAGTCAAACGTGGGTTTTGAATTGTTTTTCTCACAATCCTGCAAGCTGTTCTGTCTGATATTTTTCTTGGTCTTCAAGATCTTGCTTTAACTTCCACTGTTCCTGATGACTGCCATTTCTTAATTACATTCCGAACAGAGGATATTGACATCTGAAAACGCTTTGCTATCTTCTTATAGCCTTCTCCAGCTTTGTGAGCGTCAACTATTTTCAGTTTCAGTTTTCTAGACAACTGCTTAGAAGAACCCATGGTGCTGATTGTTGGGGCAAGGTCAGATGAGTCTGGGCATTTAAAACCTTTGAGATTGACATCACCTGGTCTTCCCAGACGATGATTGAGAACAATCCATGACACTGGCAGGTCTCAGCTTGGCAAAGGGGGCAGTGCATGCTATAAATTGTGCAGGGTGCCCAAACTTTTGCAGACGCCATTTTTTTGTTTTCTGTTATTTTGAAAGTGTAAATGATGGAAATAAAATCTAGCTTTTGTTGACATATTATAAGAATGTCTAATCTGTAATTTGATGCCTTTTGGAGATTTTTCCATCTTTCCTTGGCTTCTTTATGCACATTAATACAAATTTTTAGCTGGGGTGCCCAAACTTTCGATCCCCACTGTATATTTACTGAAATATATTGAATATGGCCAAAATTGGAGTATTTCAAATATATGGCAATATATTTGGGAAGAATATTTTTAAAATATATTCAAATATATCTTTCTTCCATATGGGTGCTCTTCACCCTGTGGACCGCACACTTTGGCGTGCGTTCCAAGATGGAAGACACAGATTGTAAGCTCTAAGGAGCAGGGCCCTCCTATCCCTCTTGTATTGAACTGTATTGTTGCTGTATTGTCTCCCATTATATTGTAAAGCGCTGAGCAAACTGTTGGCGCTATATAAATCCTGTATAATAATAATAATACCAGATATTCCCCATTTTCATTCATTTTAGTATGACACATTATTGCTGCCCTCTTAAGCCTATTTGTTACCGTCCAGCTCACAGCCCAGTGATTCAGGATACTTTGCATTACCACTACCACAGATGATGTGAGTAAATACACCTTTGTACTATTGCTACAACCAACCTCTGGGCACTTTCATTATAATCACCATGTACATTATCTCTTTCCAGTGTGTTTCGTGTACTTGCCAATTTTTAGTACACTATGGTCACATGGGACTCTCTGGTTATAACAGCTATAGATGAATTGGAGGATTCCTGTCCTTGTGCCATCGTTGTGTTTTATATACAGTATAACGCATATCATATTTCCATTTATATCCATCACATTTATTCATTACATGTTTTTTACACGTGTATGTATTGTATTGTATCTTATTGATGATTCTACATTTGTAGTGATGGGCACTATTGAGTCTTTTTGGCTCCATCCTCTAGGGCTCTTGGCACATTCCACCCAGGGATGGGACTTTAAACACCCACCCATTAGAAACCAGCACATTTAAGAGAGGACACAGGCATTGTAGGTATTGGCTCTGAGGAAGAGGCAAGGCCCCGCAACGTGTCAGTCAGTTGGAGGTCTAAATATCCCATTACAGACATCATCCAGTGTTTTTGTACCTTGCTGTACTTCATATGATGAGCCTTTTGACATTTTATCCTTTGTGAGTATATTACCACTTTTTACAATAAATTAATTTTTAAATGTAATGCACTAGGCCTGTGCGCCCTCTGTTTGTTTCTTTGTATGCAGTTCATTTGGATTCCCCTGGTCTGTTGAGGGCAGCAAGGCATGCATCTTCTAAGCATCCCATGTGTGATTCCAGTTTCTGTGGAGTCTATCGTCCAGCACAGGAGTATATACTTATGCTACTTTTTGTCAGTGAGAGAGGATAGCCTGCTGCTGACACAGAGGCTACATTAGAATTTGCTGATCTTAATCCAGACAAGGAAAACTTTGGTACTGAGCAGAGAAAAGACCCTACCCTTGACAGGGCCTGGGGGAACATTGCAATTATTAATGATATACCTGTCAAACCAGAAGACAGGCTGTATTTTTCCTTATTTCATTAGTAATGAGAATTTTGTTTCTATAAAACGAATTATGAAATTATCGAACAGTTGGTGGTCCCTAAGCCATACAGAACGGTGATACTGAAATTCGCCCATGGACACTTGCTGGGAGGTCATTTGGGAGCTGAGAAAAACACTGAAAGATTATTACACAGGTTCTACTGGCCTGAGTTACAAAAAAAGGCATTGAGAATTATTGTCAGTCCTGTCCAGTATGTCAGATGTCAGCACCCCTGCCCCACTGTTGGAGTTCGCTAGTGCCCTTGGCAATTATTGAAGTGCCATTTGAGAGAATTGTCATGAGCCTTGTATCATAGACTATGCTACCCGTTACCCTGAGGCAGTTCCTTTATGCAACATATCTGCCAAGAATATTGCCAAGGAGTTGTTCATGGTGTTCAGTTATGTTGGGGTTCTAAGGAGGTCCTTACGGACCAGGGCACCGTTCAAGTCAGAAATAACTAAAGAGTTGTGC